ATTTCGTCGTACATCCCTACAATATAAAAATGAATTCATGAATATAATAATATGTAATCTCACCGTTTGTAAGTTGAATAAACACAATCTAATTACGATAATATAATTCCTTCATGAATTATAAATAATAAAATATCGTTAATAAATTTTTAAATAAATATTTTACAAGCACCAGTTTTGAATCTGCGAAGATAAGGAAGTTTCACTGTAAATTAAAATAGGTGAATACCTTGTAATTTTATTGCATGGGGTAAACATTTTATGGTCTATAAATTTTTCAAAATTATTACTTCAAAAGCTTAAAATATTTGATACAACATAAATTATAAAAGAATCAATGAAATCTGATACGACTAGTACTTTTACGATAAACTATAGACGCATAGCATCGATGGCGTTATATTCGATTAAATTATAACTTTGATCGTTATAGTCTTTTGCTACTGAATGTGTATCAAATAACATATGATAAGGTCCGTACGATACGTGTTAATATTATTTACATTAAAAAATTGAGTTGTGAACGTCAGAAAGTGCGTTCAACATACCCTGTCGAGTGCAAAATCGTTGAGAAGGTATTTGCTGTTGTGCATCAATATGGCGGGGAATCTTGAGGAAGAGCAAAGTTTAAGAGAGTGCGAGGAATACGTGCAGAGACACAATATTCAACAAGTTTTAAAAGACTGTATAGTGCAACTGTGTGTTGGACGTCCTGAAAATCCCATATCCTTCTTGAGGGAATATTTTCAGAAACTAGAACGGGTATGTATTGAATTGCAACGCCTGTAAATAACCTCTTATTTCATTTCGCTGCTCGTTTGAGATCTGCCGACCAATTAAGAATTTATTAGGCTATTTCTAACAAATACAATTCCTTAATAATCATGTAGTGAAACAGTCGGTTTGTATATGATGCAAATTACATTAATTCCGTATATAAATACTCATATACATAGACTTCAATATCGTTCCAGCGTTTGACAAGTATGGGTAATATATAGTAAGCGAGAAAAGTGTTACACCGATTAATCTTCCTTTCAGTTATTAATGGTACTTTCAATATGTCAGTATGTCAGTACATTAAATATTATTTCTATTAGACTATGGTATAAAAATGTAATTTTCTATTATGGTTTTACTAAAATTATTTTTGACTCAATAGTTGTAATAAAATATTGTCTATTGATATCAATGCATAAGTACATTTTTCTCTAATAGTATCTTCTTTGATTTAAAATAATAATATAGGTGTACTAGAAAGAAATATTTTGTATGTTATGCTACACAAATCTAAAAGGGAAATTATATCAAAGTACTTTAGTCTTGTGAGTGAAATTCATAATACCAAATAATAAAAATAATATATACCTTTATAAAGCCTGTTAAATAATAATAATTACACTAAAAAAAGCCAATTCACCAATTGTTATATCGATATAATATTTACTGTTTTAATGAATTTCATTTTAGAAAATTCTTTTAATAAATACTACATAACATTTCAGATGAGAATTCATTATGAATTTAATATGGGAAACTTTTCTATGCTGAACAAATGCGCAATTTTTAGTTTTGTTAAAAAAAAGAGAATTTTTAAACTATTATATACAATACTATAAATTCTCTGTCATTATTTACTTCCTTAATTTCATATTTTATTGAAAACCTCAAAGCATTTAGTTTAATTTTTTTTTAATACTGAAATATACTCTCTTATTTTTATTCTGTAATTGTTTGTGAGGTTAAAATTTGGCGCGAAATGCGTTTTTATAAACACATTCGATCTGTGAGTATTCGAGTGGGAGTAATGTTTTTACGTGGTAGGGAGTTGGCACGTAACATCGTAGAAACTTTATTGTTTCTCTTGGATTTATCAGTATAAAATATTTTCTGAAACATTAAGAAGTATAACAACATGTTTTCATTTATGATATTTGAAAATTTAATGTAGTCCTTTGTACAATAATTCTCCTCATTTCTTTTAGTACTAGCTTTTAATTATTTAGAGAAAATTACTGTCTAATAATCACTCTCTATACACTTTTATCTGTAACACGAAATATTGCGTCCAGATATTAATTTCATGTGTTATTTGTAGTCTAGAGAGGTCTCCACGACAGTTGCATCCTCATTTTTCATCCGAGCGGTATAGCCTTGACCTTGACGAGATTTTCGCATCTTCGAAAACAACAGAGATTTAGGTGGCCCCTTTCTTGCAGTCTATACGGTGCAGGGTTACGTTGCACAGTAATGATCGATACCATTTTCCATTTCTTAGTCGACCACGCGAACAGTAACGCACGAAGGGATTTAAATCTCATAAAATTAGGGGCATGTCGCAATATGCGAATCGTTAGTTCGATTGGTAGCCACGATATACAGGATGTTCCTAACTATTAACCTATTAATTGTATCGAACACAAATTCTGTAACTTATGATTTGAATTCATCTGTACTTGTAATTTAACAATTTCTCGTTTTTTTTTTATTTATTTACCTGAAAATTCTATCTAGTTCCATCATAATATCTGTTCTAATTTATTCTTTTTCGCTTGTTTATAAATAAACATTTGGTGGCCGAAAATCATACGGTTAACAAATTCAAACGAAATTTCAAAGTCATCTGGTTCGTTTTCGTTAGTAGAATACTATTCTCATTCTCATTATCGTTTATCCAATGATCACGAAAACTCAAGAAAATCTTGAATACCGTCACGACGAACGCTGTATAGGGGCATGCTCTAAATATAGAAGTACGCTCGAAATATAACGAGACGCGCAACCTTAGCCAACAGCGTCGAAAGTCCGTGTGTAACGCATTTCGTGGTCGCGACGTTCTCGAAACACATGCAAATGGAACAACGTTGCGATGGAAATTTTCTTACGTTACATCTCGTAGTTCATTTCCATGTTCCTTCTATCGGCAGTCGATTGATTCGTTAGCGGCATTCACAGAAATATTCGATTTTACGTTTTCGCGCCTGTTTAGAGGGAACGTGCCCGTACCGTACCGGTCTTTTCAAATAATGTTATACGAATCTTTTTATAATCATCAGACCACGGATTTTTATGTGACTTATAACGGTTTTATGATTGATATTTTTTTTATTATTATTTTTAACCCACCGAAATTATTAACCCTTTGCATCCGAGAGGTGACTCTTAATGACCACTTTATTTGATACAGCAAACCTATGAAGCTGAATATTAAGTATTTTAACATTGTTTCTACCGAAAGTGTCAAAAGGCACCTTTGGAATTTTTTAATTAAAATTATTTTCCGAGTTTAGTTGTATATTCTAAATTGACTATTCGACTTTTTCAGTAACGATTATAAAATGAATTATAGGAAATGTCCAAAATTCAATTGCGGACAAATGATTTAACTGAAAAAAGTAATTTTAAGTGAAAAACAGGTAAAAATAGTGTTAAATTAAACTTTGTACTGCTATGTGAAATGTTTAAACAAAATAGCTTCGTTCCTTAAATTATCTGTGAATTATCGTTAAATTAGTTTCAAACAATGTCGTCTGTATCTCGTCGGAAAACATTAAATATTTTCAGTGAAAAACTGTCGAGTGCAAAGGGTTAATGCATTGAATTAAACGTTATTCCTTCTCTCCCAATTTTTGTACGTCTAGTACTGAAGAATTCGTATTAACAGAATGTTTCTGTGTTTTCGGTCATTTTCAATCTTACCACTCCCTCCTAAGTGATACGACACACGCGGCCACCCCCTACCCTTTAGCATCACGCAGAGCGCCGTGCCGCGAAAGATCGTTGTCGTATTAATCGAATTTGGCGAGGCCTTAGAAAATTCCGAAGCGCCACGGCGGGACGTCGCGATCAGACACGATCGTCCTCTCGCGCGCCTCGTGCGGTCGGTTAGTTCAGTTCGTAACTTTTGACAACGAGAAAATCCAGTTTCCGTGACTTCCGTTTTCGAAATTAGCGCACGCGCGCGTGTGTGAGTGCGTGTTGGTGCCAGTGAAGGATATATTTGACGAAATTATCGTGCACAGGCGGTCGTAGAAATAAATAATGGACAAGGTATGATTGTACATATGAATTTTATTATCGCTAAACAAGTCCGCAGTCGAGTAACTTAACGCAGCTTATTCGAATTCCAATGTTCGATTGAAACTTGTCGATGTTCTGTTTTTTCGTTTATTCTCGAAATAGATTGCCCTGGTACAGGATATAAGTGTCAGTTGATTTTAATCTAGTTTTAATTTATTACTAGAGTTTTGAAAGTTTCTTTTGCAATCGTAGTGATAGAAACAACATTTCAAAGATTTTGGTGACCGGGTTTTCTATTTTAAACATCATCAAACGTTTTCCATTCATTTTCTGAGAGATGTAAAATCATTTGGTTCCGCGTTACATTTATTTAAGATACCTTGAATTCAAACGCTTTGAATCCACATAACTGTTTGGTCCTTGAAAGTTGTCCTTGATGAAAAGAATTTTGGATTTGCAGTTTGCTAATTGGTGCAATTGAATGACTGTGTTTTAATAAAGGTCAGAGACAAATTACACGAGAAGAAAGCAGTAAACGTCGTATATGACAATTGGCTGAAAGTACAATGCTATTTTACCACGTGCTAAGACCATTGACCGACTAGTCTTGACACTGCTTTTAATTCGGTGCTATTGTTAGAGCGTAGTTCGAATGTTCGTCACGAGATAGTGTTATTTTAACGTTTCCCTATATACGCATACATCGAGTTGATATTTATATATTCGTAATTTGATCGATTTAAATGTTTTCTCAAATAGTTCAATAGGAATATCATTTGATTGTAATACTTTTTCTTCCATTGTAAATATCAGAGTAGCTAACATATCAGGTTTTGAGTCACCCTCTGTATGAAGGTGTTGCAATCAACGGGTACTCGTGCCATGAATTATTGACCATAAAAGCGTCGTTAATATTACTAATTCATGAATGGATCGCCTGTAACACGTTCGTCAATTTGTATCGCTACGAATTGTTAATTTGTTGGTATCCCGTTCATGTAAAAGTTCAGTGATCGATACGAGGAGAGATCCAAGCAGCCAAGCATGACTTATCTCGCGATCGTGTTCGTTTGCGATCAAAATTCGTGAGACATCTGTGGTAAGCGGGATGAAAGTGATCGAAACAATCGAAACCGACCGAACAAGGGATTTTTTAAGCGGCGTGAAGTTGCAGATATTGTCTTGATGTGTTCACGAAGGAATTCATTATGCATTTACGAGACACCATTCATCCGTGAAAACGCCAAGTGACCTATGGCATTATTTGCCAACCTTCTTCAGCTATACTCGCGTCGTGTTTGTACGCCGTGTAACATTTTTCCCGTGGGCTTCTATAATTTTACAACAAGCATAGTCGAACTTTAGAAAAACAATAGACGACGATATTACGAGATAGATTTTTTTTTCAAACCTCCTCCTAGTCCTTTTGTAAAGGCATGCATCAACGTTGAAAGAAGAGAACGAATTGATTTGTCGTCTGTGCTCATCCGACTGCTCATAAATTTATTTGATTGAAACGTTCATTAATATAGATATTTATTTTAACCCTTTGCACTCGAAAGTTTTTCACTAGAAATATTTGAATATTTTCTGTTGAGATGAAGACGATATTTTGTAAAACTGACTCGAAAAGAAATCACACGTACATTGAGAAACAAAGCTATTATACAAAGTATAATATTAAATATGAAATCAAATGCTGAGTGAGAGTTACCTCTCGAATGCAAATTAACAGTGTAAATAATATTTTTATAGATGCTCGTTGCCAAGAAAGTATTCGGTTAATAGATGAATATTTTTGTATCAAGATGATTTCCGAGTCACCTTCACGAAATAGAATTCTCTGTTCCCTCCGTCTCGCCTGACACTCGAGACATCCTGTACGCTCAGAAAATTTCAAGAAGCATGTGATTTCATTAGGGGAAGGGTTCTGTAGTTATTCCGCGCATGTGTAAACAAAACTGACTTATAAAAGCGCATTGGTTTCCTCCCCTTCTTTCTACTTCCCTCATTTTCCCTTTCTCTCTTTTTCTATCGAGGCACGTGTCGTGTTCGTTTTAGTTGAAAAAGAAAAAAAGTCAAATTAAAAGACGACATCGCGGTTAGTGTGCTGCAAAACGACTAGGAGGACACACTGTCGTCATGGTGCAGCAGGCGAGTAAAGCAGAATAAACAATATAAGAATAATAATAGCTTAACACTACAACTACCAGAGAGGTCAAAATGACCCATTCCTGATTGCTCCTTTAACAATGATTAAAAACATAACAGATAATTCTCTGAGAAATTACTACAGAAATTGATTAAAAAATAGGCAAACTGAATTGTTCATCAATAGAAATCTCAATAATAGCACTCTTAGAGTTTCTACAGAAAAATTTCAAAAAGTCAATTTGACTGTTCGGTAGTTCTAGTGTTACATAAACAATGTATTTAAAACTGATACTGCTGCAAATTTAAAAAAGACATTATACATCAATAATTAAATGAATAAATTTATTTGTTTCAATGTTGCGATACAAGTCGACTTAGCAAAGTGCATATCATTTTGATAAAAAGAAAATCATACATTTTTATATTGACTGTTTCTGTTACGTTGAAGGAAATAGTAATTTATTTGATTAAAATTAGTTTATTATGGTCGTGTTTTCAGGAACAGGCTCATGATGCCAAGCAACAAATCGCGACTAGTCCCGAAGATACGGAGGACATACCCGCGGGTCAGCAAGGTCCTCAAGTACCAAGGCGTAGAGGTGGCATCTCCGCGGAGCCGGTCTCCGAGGAGGATGCGACCAGTTATGTCAAGAAGGTCGTGCCTAAGGACTACAAAACGATGGCTGCTCTGAGCAAGGCCATCGCTAAAAATGTTCTTTTCGCCCATTTAGATGAGAACGAACGTTCCGACATATTCGACGCTATGTTCCCAGTCACGTTTTTGCCAGGGGAGGCAATCATTAGGCAGGGTAATCATTGCCAAATTTGACAACTTGCTAGATTAACACGTTCAATGCCATGAAGGTCACCGGTGATCCTCGACCAAATCGAATTATTATAGTTCACTCAATTAAACGACGATTATTTGAAAATATTTCTATATTATAATCGATGCTACCTAATGCGGTGATATTCAGATAGATGAACATGTAATGATAATAGCGCAATTCGATCAAATGATTTAATAATATATATTTTCCATTTCGTGTATTTTGATCTATAAAATCGTGCGGCATTCAACGTGTTAAAATTATACAATTTGATCCATTTTTTTCTGTACACCTATTTACAGTTAGTTGATTTTGTTGAATATCACATTCTTCAGAGCTCGACCTGTTTCTCTAGCTTTTTCTATTCAATTATCGCATGTTCTTCTGATTTTTTTTGTTCAAATCCTAATTCTAGTACCGAAGTATATTAAGAAAATTAGTGTGGGTCGTAAATACTAGATGATCGACCGCTAATTACTTTCTGGCCTGCGTAAAGGTTAAGTGGCTTTGTCAAAGAGGCCACTTAAGTGTTTCCTATTTGCGACGCACCGCTTTGTACACGATATACTGTTTGCTGGAACGGTTAAGTACGCTAATTTAACCTGAAATTTTGTTATACTTGGTTAGGGGACGAGGGCGACAATTTCTATGTGATCGATCAGGGGGAAGTCGAGATATTCGTCAACGGTGAGCTAGCGACCACGATCGGGGAAGGTGGGAGTTTTGGTGAATTGGCGCTGATCTACGGCACGCCGCGTGCAGCGACCGTCCTAGCGAAAACAGACGTTAAGTTATGGGGCATCGACAGAGATTCTTATCGCAGAATCCTTATGGGTTCCACTATAAGGAAGCGAAAGATGTACGAGGAGTTCCTTTCCAGAGTATCAATATTAGGTGAGATGAAGAACCATAGACAGAAGCTTTTTGCTGCGGATGTAGATCAACCAGGGTCCTTACACCTGATAAAGCCTTTAGTATTTTAAAAGTTCCCAGGAATATTTGAAAAGACAGCTTTGTCATGATGCAATCGATTGTCCTGCCAGTTCCAAATTTCACTACATCGTCACTTACAAGTTGCTTGTATAATACCTGATCTATGTTTAGAATCTTTGGATAAGTGGGAACGGTTGACGGTGGCTGATGCTTTAGAACCGGTGGCATTTGATGACGGCGAGACGATAGTTCGACAGGGTGAACCGGGTGAGGACTTTTATATAATTGTAGAGGGCACCGCTGTGGTCCTTCAACAACGCTCGGAGAATGAGGAACCAGCAGAAGTGGGTCGTTTAGGGCCATCTGATTACTTCGGTAAGGTTTAAAATGATTTTTCAGTTAAGGTTTGCCTTTGTACCATAAGTGTAAATGACATTTAATGCTACTGTTAATTACAGGTGAGATCGCATTGTTATTAGATAGGCCACGGGCTGCGACAGTCGTAGCTCGGGGTCCCTTAAAATGTGTAAAACTGGATAGGGCAAGGTTCGAAAGAGTCTTGGGCCCCTGCGCAGATATCTTGAAACGCAACATTACCCAATATAACAGTTTCGTTTCCTTATCCGTATAAATTATTCTCCAAGTGTCAGTTATTCTGATTTTCATTGTGGAACTACCGTTTCACTATAACTGTTAACAATTTTTTATTTAAGTAATATATAAGTGATAACTAGACCGCGGACGTTCATGCAAATTTAGATTATTTCCAGATCAATTTAGAAAAGCAGGAATCAAATCAACTTCGTTCACCTCCGATCCTTAGTAGATTTAACGTAAAATAGAAGCTGTATTGAACTTGATTTAGGTCATTAATTTATCGTATTTTCTGAATTGATGTATGGTAGAAGTATTTGAATTTCTGTGGTCTAGTAGTAACTATATTACGTCAGCCAATATGTGCGTTAAGAATTGTAATATACGTTAACCGTCTTTTAAATGCATCCATGTCGTCATCGATTGTGTTCCCGTTAATGTTGTACATTACGGTTGAAGTTTCAGCTCACGCATCTGGGTGAGCTGCCAATAAAATTGTTGATGTAAATTTAGAGCGAATTCTTATCGATGCTGTAACATCTAACGGAGATTTATGATTCGTTTGCTCAAAGAATCAGATCAACGTTGCCACACTTTTGATTAGCACTGCGACAAATATCTTAGGGTTATTCTTTTCAAATCATAATTTCAGTAATTGTTAATTTTGTTCGCGCAATGTTTAACAAGATTACGCGGTGTTTTTGAAAGATGGTAACAGTATAATTATATATATACATATATATAATTCTGGTTTACACTAAATGAGAACGATTGGAAACGCTCTGCGAAATGTAACGTTATTACGCACTTTGTAATTGTCAACACGGCCGTGTACAACGTCGGTCTTTTAGTCTTTTACACGAATGTTTCTTGAAAGTATTAAAACACAAACCACGGGAACTCGAGAATCTCGGTAAAACGCGCGTTTACTTCATGAAATATTTATGTTCGAAGGGATTAACAAAAAATTTCGTCGCGTTACTATGAATCGTTTGGAATTTGAAATTCTGAACTTTCATTTTTTTGTTTGTTATGGCAGTATTTAATTTTTGTTATTTATTGCATTAAATTCTATTCAAGCGATCTTGATCGTTCCGTAAGAATGTTTGGAATATGTATAATTATTATTATATGCATTTCATGATGTAGCGATCAATTCGTACACGTATATGTGTATGATCTAGGAGGAAGAAATATAAAAAGAGAAGTATATCAAACCTGAATATTTGTATAATATCGAATTTAAATAGCTCTAACGTAGCTTCGCACAATTTTATCAGTAATTCTTTTTTTTTTCTTTTAAC